AGAAGGCCAGATACGGCCGTGGTGCTGCTGTCCGCAGGTCCAGCGAAAGGTGAAATCCTAGGGTAGCTTTTGTTAATACTGCTGTTCTTTGCACAGATATGAATTTGGACATACCGGAAAAGTGCTGCATCGTAAACTCCTGCATTGCTTTCGGAACTGCCATAATTGTATCCGCTTCATCTGCCTGGGAAAAGACGCGGCAATAAGTCGTACTTTGCAATTGGTTCGACGGGTTAACTGCTGGAGTACCGCAGCTGTGCATGGAAACCCGTGTCAATCAATCAATTCACTGTAGTTACATAACTCGTGTCGTCGGTCACTCACATCTGAAATTCCAGGAATTGAAATTTGTCCTTGTATCCATTTTTCTCAAGCCCAAATCTTATTTGCTTTTCAAAAAGCTCCCATTTTTTATCCGTTCCGTATCCCGTTGCATTCACGAGGATTTGTCCCTCATAGCCTCCGCGATAAAATATCGCGAGCTTCGTGGTTGGGGGAGGTGGCGCCCCTTTTACCCCTGAGACCTGCACTCTGCTCACAGGTATCAGATGAAAGCAGCCAACCTAAGCATCTTTGGAAATTCAGCATACCTATTTTCGCCAATATCCTCAATACTTATGTTTTGCGTGTATGCCTTCACGTCGCCTTTAGAATTCAGTAAGCTTTTGGGAAAAAAAAGACATTCCACAGAAACGCGGGTATGTATCTCATACTATTCAAATAGATATCTCCTTGCAATTCATATAAGAACTGGCATTTGACCACCTCGGCATTGACAAGGCCTTTGGTGTTTTCATGTTTTGTGACCACTGTTGTCCCATCATGCGCAACTTCAGCAATTCCGAACGGCAGATCAAGGAAAAGGTCGGTATTGAACTCAGTAAACCCTGAGAAATTTGATCCGGTAACATATGCGGAGCATTCAATCAAGTGGCCTGCCACAAGTGCGCCAGCTAATGCATCATAGTCAGTGGCATTCCAGCTGTGCCAGTACCACGCGGCTCCAATCACAGGCGAGGCATCTGCTACTCGTCCGCAGATGATAATATCCGCTCCCTGTTCTAACCCCTTTACGATAGCTCTGGCCCCCAAATATGCATTTGCGGAGACCACTGGTTTTTTATGTGTATCTAACAGGTCTGTCGAATGGGCCTGCAGCTGAACTTGGTCATTACTAGAGTCGAGATGGGCAGGCAACTGTCCCGTTGTCTCCAGGCTCTTTCGCACTTCCTCCAGTAGATTGTCCCCTGAAACATAAGCTATCTTCAGGTTATATCCTCGAGATCGGACCTTGGGAGAGTATTAGTGTAAGTGCTCTAAGAAAAGAGCTAGACCAAGATCATAATCCCACCAAATTTGCTACTTCTTTCGCCAAACCTCTCGGGTTGAGAGCGCCAGCGTTTAGGACGATTTTGATTTGCTTCTCCCAAATGACATCAATGGACTGTTGGATGCCGTCGAATGCATAAGGATCATATCCAGGATGCTGTCCGGTTGCCATTGCTTCCGCATGCTCTGCCAGATTCATCTCTGAGGCGATGTTAGCGGGTGAACATAGCTCTCTGGGAAAAGGAGTTCTATTCACCTGCGAGATAGTCTCCAGTTATGAAATCAACATCGCCTTGAGTAGCCTGCCGGAGCATCTGGTAACCAGGATCCCCTAATGCGAACTTTTTCAGTTGACGAATATCCGGACACCGCTGCCCTTAGAAAATGGCAATACCTCGAGCCCCTGAGCAATTTGCAATTCTGACAGGGCGCCGCCCCTTAGAACCCCATCTAGAGTTACGGCTTCGTGCCATTTTCGATCCTGAAGACCTCAAATAGTAGCTATTTCGCGGGCATTGAGATTGGGGAGACGACACTGGAAAGCGTATATAGCCATCCATATTCGGGTGCAAAACACTAGACACCATTGATGGCCCCCCTCTGCATCCATATTAAAGTCCATACCTCGGTATTTCGAGTGTAGGAGCGGTGCTCGAAATGTCCTCCAAAGTAGGGGATCTATCGGCCCCTCGGCAACGTGTGCGGAGAACCAAAGCTCGTCGACATACATAGTCAACAGGTCCAGGGACGAATGATGGTCATATAGCCCAAGGCTGGCCCCATATAAGTGAACTATTCGGTGAGCCGGTTTGAGATCAAAAGTTGATAGCTTTTGTCAAGATCGTCGGTGCGGTCTTGATGCTTCGGCCCTGAAGCTAAAAAGATATTTCTTCCCGATATCGAGGGCTATGTAACCAAATGGTCACATAACTAGCTGCTAGCCTCTCGATGCTTCTCTTAGTAGAAGCCTGGAGCTGAGACATTTTTGCGCATAACAGTGGTCGTGGGAAAGCTATCCCGGCCATGTTGGGTCCTCTCGAGTCTCCCTGGGACCCGGAGGTTTCATCGTCAGCGAACTATGCTATGGATTTATAATACTTGAGCTGTTTTTGCGCATTTCACCAACGCTCGTGAAAGATATAAGAACACGCCGTTTCCCGATAAATTTGGATTCACAATCACAAAAGAAGCAGCGGTTGAAGCTCCCCTCGATATCTGAATAACTTCACCTTTTTGACTGCTAGCCCAGTGGTTGTCTACCCCGCGCGAGTACCCTTGCTCTCTCTCCCCTCCACGCTCCCGCCTCAGCTTGAACCATCTTCCGCACAGGACAACCAATTCACACACCATTCGCAAGATATTCAAAACACTGCGAGTACGATGTCTGATCACCAATATAAATTCGATGTCTCTATGAGCTGTGGCGGCTGCTCCGGAGCCGTGGAACGAGTTCTCAAGAAGCTTGAAGGTATGCGCCGGCTATTATCCAACCCCGCGACACAACATTTTCAAAAGATAATAGCGTTCCTCGAGCAAATTGACTAACGATAGAGTGGGTTTAGGCGTCAAATCCTACGAAGTAAGCCTTGAATCACAGACCGCAACTGTCGTGACAGAGCCAACTCTCGAATACGACACTGTCCTCAGCACCATCAAGAAGACAGGCAAGGCCGTAACGAAAGGAGAGGCAGACGGGAAGGAGATGGCGGTTTAGAGGATTAGAACTTGTTAACTTCGGTATCTGAGCTGTCTCAGCTAAACCAGATTAAGATTATGTGACCAGAAATGACATTGTTGTTTACTTGACGGATAGTGAAATGTGGAAGCGAGAGGATCCTCGTCTTCCGAAAGGTTGACATAGAACGAAATCGTGAAAGCCGAGCTTAATGGTTTATTCGTTAGGAGCTCCTCCATGCTTATACATATCTAAGGAATGAGCCATGAAGGATATATCGTACATTATCTTGCAAATATTTGTAGCGGCGTTGGGTGGGTATCTAGCAATGTACAGGCATAAATCGCCCGTCAAACGTATATACATACATGCAGAAACGCGTTCCAACAGAATCTCGAAATTATTTCCTAATCCGCTGCACACCTTACAATGGTTGTTTATTGCCAGTCCTTTGGGGTTTTGCAAAATACTCGTCTTTCTAAAAACCTCAAAACCGCCGGCTCGATCCACGGCTCCGTGAGACATAGGCTTCGAGCCTTACGTGGTCAACCACCTGGAACAAGCATACGGCTGTGTAGTACATGCTGCCTGGGGTATCTCGTGTCGCCAAAAGTTCCATCTCGGAAACTTGCCTCGTCATATTTTGGTAAGGAGTTTTCTAGATCATATCGGTGGTGTCTTTCCAATATCAACAATCAGCACCCATCATTAACCAAGGCAACAAGGTACTCTAGTTTAGTAGCTGACAAACGATCAGGGAAGGAACGCAAAGCCATACCGTTTTTGGCCAGGCGGAATATCGTGATATGAATCCGCCACTATACGGTTATGGTAAGTTCCTTGCTGGCCCAGAGGGACAGTCTGTTGTGAGGCCCGGGAATCGTGAAATCTATGCGCATGAACGGGACCAGCTATCCGGGAATCAGGACGGTGAGTTGGAGGGGAGAGAGAGCGCTGGTCATACGCAATCCTACGATCAGTCGTATTCCTACCAGCATCGAGGTCCTGAACATATTTTGTTGAGTAACGGCCATTTGGGCCTATCTGGTCATCACGCGTCGAAGTGTACGTGCGCCCTCTCAAGGGTCCATTGTTTTCTGGAGACGATATAGGACGAACAAAATCGTGTGAATAGATACGCGAAGCTCGTGTATCTTGGTTAAATAAAAGGGGTCTCCGTTCTGGCGACGCCTCTCTCATTACAACAGAGTGAACAGGACCAGGTCCTTTGAGTTGGATTTCCCGACTCTCGTGGGTGTCTGATCCATGTAACACGTGTCGTGGGTTCGAGATATGCGAAAGCTGGTTAGGTCCGACATTGTTGTTGTCATCCCTGACCCTATATGAAGAGCTACCCGCTGTGATAACAGGCGGTTTGCCCGTAGCCATATGAACAGAATGATTGGCATGAGAGCGGTCTGAAACTTGGCCTTGACGAACCTGTCCACGGTCAAATTCACCAGGAAACCCATCCATTCTGGTGGTAAATTCCTTTGGTTGTGATGGCCCAGTAAATTTTCGTTCAATTTGGGGCCTGGGATGCTCCACACGTCTCAATAACGGGTGCGGATATTGGTCGTTAGGCCTATTGGTTTTATTAACCAAGATATTTTGTCTGTCAAGCTCCGGATCATAAATCCCTGTTTCTCGACGTTTCCCCAAGTCGAAGTCGGCACTAGATGGGTATGGCAATGCCGTAGTTTCCCTGCGGCCATCCGGATGGGAATTTTCAATGGAATTGTGAAGCACAAACTTACTCCTTTTCGGAGGGAGCTGATACCTGGCATCGTCAATATCAATGACTTTCATTCTACCGGATAGATCCTCGAGCGGTGGCTGCTGATGGTAAGCTTCTTCCATTAACAAGCCATTAGAGTCCCGCTTTCGTGACAAGGGCAGTCCGGGATCAGTTATGTATCCAGGGGCTTGGTGAGCTGTATGATGGCCTCCGGTCCGATACTTATTGTCATTACTGGCAACCTCCAGCATGGGATCATGCTGTCTAAGACCTAATGTATGATACTTCACCTGATCGGTGGATAAATACCCACGGGCGTGGGGCGATGAAGGTGCAACAAATCTTGACCGCTCATCCGGCCTCACATAGTTTGGGTTCAGAACAGTATCCGCTCTTTCAAAAACTGAGCCGTCAGCCAAACGGATTATCTTCGGAGGTTCGAGACGCCGCTTCAAAAGTGGACCAGTTAGCGTGAGCCTAATTTGATGATTCTCTAGAGTTAAAGCTTAGTGAAATGCGAGCATCTTACATGTAGTTGTGGTATAGAAGGCTCCACATCCTGATACAGAGGTGGTCTGGAGTGAGTTGAGTCCGCGGGGCGAGTTATAGGTAAAGGCCTTGTCGGTGATTGAACATGGGGAAATTGCCTTGTTAATTGGGGTTCATGTTGCCGTCCCTGAATTGTGACAGGCGGGTTATTAAGCATGGGTGAATGCCTAGATTGTTGGTTAGAGTTAGATATATTCAAGATATCTTTATATCGGTCTTTGGCTCGATCCCATGCTTGGTATCTGCTGAAACCTCGACGATCGACTTTCTTCTTATCCCCCGCCTTTCGTTTTCGTGAAGATTCGGGAATAAAACGAACGCCAGAAAGGGCTTCGTCTTCCGAGGGATCTAGAGCAATACCCCTATTTCCAGGTGGCAATGGCTGAGTTTGCAGTTCCCTAACAACAGTACTGCTGGAAACAATCTCGACACTTGAATCTCGATCAGCTGGGGTCTGTTCAATATCGCTGGTCTCGTCATCGTCCTCATCGTCGGAAATAACAATAACTTCACGGAAAACATCTTCAAGAACAGTCTCCCCAGTCTCATCGTCACCTCTCCATTGAACAAGTGTTGCGAGACATGGCTCTTCAACCGCAGCCCGAGCTTCTTGAAAAGATGTGAGTTTGAGCAAACGATCATACTCAGTGTACACATGGCGTATGTGCGCAACGACAGCCAACTGCGCGCGGCGTGCCAATGGGAGCTCAACAGCGGTTCCGACTTTCCGTTTGCCCTACTAACTATCAGCAACGCAATGATGCTTGAAGTCGACATACCTTGCGGAACGCGGTTTTGATAATTTGGTTTAGATCTTTATCTGGAATATTCGGGAAAAGATCCTTGATCGCATCACGGGCCTCGGCGTTAATTGTATTTTGTGACAGTTCCGAATCTGCTCTTCGTTCACGAATAAATTCCCTGACATTTCCACGACTAGGTATCTGTCGATAAGGCATCACCTTCCCGGCGGAAGATAAAAAGACTCCTCGTTCCATGCACACTGTAGCGACTACAACACTTGGAAAATGGTACCCAATTCTGTGAACTTGTTGGGAAAGGTTATGCATGCCTTGATGGGGGGTGGTCTGTTCGTAATACAGAGAGGGGTCAGTGATTTGCGCTGGTGGAGAAACGGCTAGAGAAGATACACTTACGGAAACGGTGAAAACCTTGAGACCATCTTTCCGACACAATTCTTTGCAGGCGCTTGTAAATTTGGGGTTTCCGGCCGGAATAAAAGTATAACCAGGCGGCGCTTTTGCCTCGAAAGATATCTAGGAGTAGTTAGTGATATAAGCAATCATCCATCGAGGGACTTTGAAATTTGCGTGAGTTGAGGATCGTACAACACTCCGAAGCTTCTTCTTTTCCTGAGTGACAGTTTCCATAATAATTTTGTGCTTGCGAATTTTGGCTCTTGCGCCATTGCTGCGAGCTAGCGCAGCGGCCCGATTGGGCACACGGGTCATCCTGATCAATGTTGCCAGCAAGCGCTCCTAGCTCGAGGACGAGAGCGCTAGAAAGCTATAAACTCCCACACCTTACAGGCAGGTAGCGTCAGAGAATATCATACTTCTGCCAGGAAACAAACATTTGCGCGCATGAAAAATCTCGTCTAGATAAGGTTAATGAAAATAGCAATTGAGACCAAAAGAATGCTGCCAGGAAAGAAAATCAGCAAACGCGAGTGTGCTTAAGGATTAAGCACACTGTGTACTTGGGAAAGATTGCCAAAGTAGCTTAGTCGTGTGTGTTCTAAGCACAGTCACCAAACAAAACCCATAGAGATAGAGAGTTACACAGGACAAGGACCCAGGGACCGTGGTAGGTATGGATGTCTTTTCGCCTGGTTGAGGATGCAGTCTGTGCCGATGAAGGTGGTGTTACTGCTGGTGTCTGGGGTTGTTGGGCGAGGATGAAGCGAAGTCGAAAGGCGGATCGCCTCGTTTTTAACGGAATTGGGTACCCTCCACCTGACCTGCCACGTGACTGGCCACTCGGTGCTTATGTCATCGTATATCAACGGCCTCAAGCGACGCCACGAGACAGGCTGGAGCGGTAAATACGTTAACAGCGAGCCGTTACCGCGCTTTGCTCCAACGAATGTCACTCACGGTGGACATTCTCAGGTCGACGAGCTATCGCCATGCCGTCGCCCTTTCCTACAGGCATTTGTACCGCACTGCCTTGCGCACTGTGAGATATTCCAAGCCATCACGCTTTAACGTGCGGGATATACTCCGATCTGCGTTTCGATCCGGCTCAGCGTCGGATTTCAATCCCCAGAGGATTGTTAACACGATTCAATTCATCGATCGAGCCAAGCAGCCAGGAACTACAGAACGCCAGATTCTCAAGAACTTGACAAATGTCAAATACTATCGAGGGCCTTCATCCTTGTGGAGTCCGCCATTGTAAGTCATCCCGTCGCGCAGGGGTGACTCGGGGCTGATTTCGCGACAGATTCGCAAAGAAGAGGACCGATGCCGATTATAGATTTCGCTCGACGCCCTACAAATACTTTGATGAAACCTTGCATCTACTCAACGAAAGCCTAGAACTATGTTTGCGATGTTGAATGGGGTGAATATCATACAAAACCAAGGGTGGGCAGCCGGAATTCGTTCATGGGAATAAGTAACTATTCTCCAAAGCCGCATTCGAGGAGGATAGCCATGGAAAGTAACACCAGGAAGGGTTTTGAACCCTCTACAACACATAAGTGGGACTCCAAAAGCGCATATTTAGACTATATTCCTCTTCAAAATTGTAGGCACATAGATACATACGCAGTATCACAAATAGGTCATTATTAGAAGCCTGTCCAGTCTGCGCCGTTCGATCCTGCTTCGTGAACAAACAAGACTTGGGAGGCGAGGTCAAGATGTAACTTCGGGGAGTCACGTCAGGCGAGCACTTTGACACACCGAAGCTCGTCCTCCAGACCACAATCCCAATCCTGTCTCCATGGGGCATCAAGTTGTCTTCGACACTGGAAAGTATGAGACGTAATAATATCATTACTATCTCTAGTGACCTTCTGCCTGACTGATCAATGAATAACTGACGGACCACTCTCGTTGACTCCTCGACATGCAATCCTTGCCTCCTGACCAGGCCCAATCTGACTCCCCAGATATCAACTCCCGGGTTGCTCAACTGAGCGTCGAGAATAATAACAATAATACACTAGACGATGTGAATATTGATAACGATCCAATTCCCGAGCAAAGACCACAGTCTCCGCTTGAACCGATTGAACCGCCGCGCCGGCCCTCCAACCCATCCGCCGATATCCCCGCGAGGTGTGAGGGGCAGCCGAGCCTCCAACAACAAACAGTAGATTCGGAGCATGGAGGACGCAGCTCTAGCCACACACCGCGGCGGGACATACTCGCTGAAGCCGACGGGCCAGTTTCTCCCATACGCTCCACTGGAAGAGGGTTCACTCGACCGCAGGACCAGTTGCATGGCCAGTTGAGCGCAGAGAATGGCTTGCGTTCGACAGGGAATTGGAGCGACAAAGGTCAATCACTGCCTGCTGATGATGGGATGCGCATTCTCCGACAACGAATACATGCGATTAGAGAGAGCAACGCACCCAGTGCGGAGAAGGCCCAGCGGATACACGCGTTAATGACGGAGAAGTACCGCTCCTCGCTCAAAGTACCGGATTCGCCGCAGGGTGTGCATCACGAAAGGCCTTTGACCCCGTTGTCTCCGCAGAGTAAGCGTTCGTCTGATCAGCTTACCCTAACCCCTGCTTCTACGTTCTCGAGCTCGTCCAGTACGTCCGGTAGGCACTTCCATCTCTCGCTAGATGATCTTACTCCCACCTATGTTCCTAACGTTGCGCCTCCCACACCATCCTATGGTGATGAGGACTTGATGCTCTCCGGCAAAACGGATAATTCGCCAATTTCCCAAGTACAACAGGTATTGGGATGCCAACACTACAAGAGGAATGTAAAGTTACAATGCTTTACCTGCAAAGGCTGGTATACCTGCAGATTTTGCCATGATGCGGTGGAGGATCATTCTTTGATTCGCCACGAAACAGAAAATATGCTCTGCATGGTGTGTCGAACACCCCAGCAAGCAAGCCAATGGTGTAAGTCATGCAGCACTCAAGCTGCTTGCTATTATTGCGGAATTTGCAAACTTTGGGATAACGACGCTTCAAAGAGTATATACCACTGCCATGGCTGCGGAATTTGTCGTCTTGGGGAAGGCCTTGGAAAGGACTTTTTCCATTGCAAGGTAACCAAAGAGCCACAAGCTCGTAATGAGTCGCTAATGGAGCTTTAGACTTGCACCGTATGCTTGCCAATCAAGCTCGAAACCAGTCATCGATGCATCGAGCGCTCCACCCAGTGTGACTGTCCTATTTGCGGCGATTACATGTTCAATTCCCCGTACGCAGTTGTTTTCATGAAATGTGGCCATAGTATACACCAAAAATGCTATGACAAGCACTCAAGGACGTCATATCGGTGTCCAATATGTAACAAGAGCTTCGCGAATATGGAAGCTCAGTTTAGGAGTTTGGACCGCACAATTCAGAGTCAACCGATGCCAGCAGAGTTCAAAAACACTAAAGCTGTTATAAATTGCAATGATTGCCGTGCAAAGAGTGTGGTACAGTACCATTGGCTAGGTCTGAAGTGTGATAAGTACGCTGAGATTACCCCCGCCAGTATTCGAGACGAGCTGATTATTTCTAGCTGCGATTCCTACAACACGTCTCAGATCCGAGTATTCTCTACGGAAGATGAGCAGGGTAGTGGGACTGAAGCGGGCCAGAGCCGTGGCATCCCAATCTCTCTGCCCAGGATGCAAAACAACCTCACTGTTGAGGATAGACTCATGGCCCGATCGATACCAGTTTTGGACGGCGCCTCAGATACCTTGGATCCTCTAGCAAGAGCAGGAAGCCTATCATCATCCGCTCGCCCGCAAAATTTCAACGCACGCTCTGTGTCCCCCACGGTTGGTGATTATTTTGGCCTTAGTCGACGACGGGGATCGATTTGGACCACATTCTCACAACCGGAGATCATACATTCAGATAGCGAGGGTGATGGAGATAATAGCTTTTGGGCCGTGTCAGCTCTGAAAAGGGCAACCATAGGTCTCCTAGGAAGTAGGGAATATGAAAGCGAGGAGGAATGGGGAGACGAAGAGGACCGTGCTACTGACTCAGAAGAAGAACAGGTCGAAGGCGAGGACGACGAAGTTGAGGATATAATTGACATTTTTGGCCATCGATAGGGGCCCCTGATGGGATGCCAGGGTTCAAGTAGCATTACATTGGTTTATTCTTAGTGAAGCTCTTTTTTGGAAAAAGCGCCACGATCACGTACGGGGGTGCTGAGGTCGAATCCATTTGACCGTTGAGATAAACTTTCAGTTTATTATTGCACCGGCACCATTTGGGCAGAAACTCCTTCAGTTTGGTTATAGATATTTATACAGAGTATTATTTAAACATTTGGATAAACAAGACATGCATTCAGGCATTCATATGGAGAAATAGTTTGATAACTCCGAGTATTTAATCGCACACGCGAATATACGGCAGGGATGCATCGTCTGGCGCTATTAGAATCCAGCAGCTCGCCTTTTCTTCTTTTCCTTGCCCAGACTCTTTCGACCAGCTTGCCGACTCCCAAACACGCCCTTCTCCATCTGAGACATTGGGAGAACACTTTCTTCTTTGACCTGGCTACTCCATAACCTGGGGTCCCCGGAAGAAGAAACAGCCGGTGTGGTGACAGGCTGGCTCCCCCACAGCCTCCCGCCGTCCATGAGCCTGGGTGTCGAAGGCTGCATGGAAGCCTGCTGTTCAGCCTTTTCCAGGTGACGTCGTTTGCGCTCTTCACGTTTGCGACGTCTCTGTGCGGCTGGGTGTTCTTCGGATAGAGACTGCTCGTCTTTTATCGCATCAGCCGCTTTCTGCCAATCGTAATATGATGGATCGGTGTTGACTTTCCAATGGGATATTGTGGTGATGGTTCGTTTTGTGGGCGCACGTTGATGGTTCAGGGTTGTATAGCGCTTCAAAAAGCGGTACGGCGGTTCCGGAAACTCATGCAATGGGTCCAATCCTTGACTAGATTTCTGAGTCTGACTTGAGATGATATTTTGTGATGACCCAAAACTTTGAAGCTGCGACTCGTTAACCAATGCACCGGCTTCATCCTCATTCGTAGTATCTAGTTCCTCAGTCCCGACACGGACAAGAGATATCCTTGAAAATATTATCTCCGTGACCACAGATCGGATCATTTTCTCTCTCATTATCCTGACTCTATTCGGAACCTGTTCGGATAGCGGCGAAAGCCAGTCATAGACAAGTGAGTCATAAACTGTTGCAAGGGATAGATCACTCTGCTCAACTGGTGTGTAAACGGCCAGATTCGATGTCGCAGAGAACGGCAATGGCAGTCTCGATAACCGATACTGCCGCGGAGTAGCTGGTAGCACGCTTGCCATGGTGGATAGGAAGTGTTCAAAACTCCGTGTGTTGCTGTCAATCGCATCTAAAGCTGGAGGTGGACCAAGGATTTCAAGTCTAACATGATTGTTAACTTTGAATATAAGGAAACAAAACGGAACTAAGTTCTTACAGGGTTGCTGAAGATGCTGCATAACTATGCATCTGGTCTTGGAGTCGGTCGACAGCTGAACTAATCCAATCATCGAACCCTTGAGGCTGTATTGTCTTCCCGTCTTGATCTAAATCTAACTCATCTTCGTTAGATATCAGCCAAGAGTGTTCACTTCTCCATTCTTCAATACGTTGTGCTGGCTGAAAAGGTTGATCAGACGAGTTTGAGACACGATTTGCCTGCTGAAAGCGGGTACTAAACTGAAACTCAGGGACGTCCATATCGTCCACAAGAAAATCGTCGTCGACCCAAGGTGAACTGAGCGCCTTATTGCGCTTTCGTATCGAGTGAGTGTACGGATAGCTCGCTGTCTGGGATTCCTGATTCAATTCCACAGAATACAGGCTTTCAACTATATCAAGCTCGGTACGTTGACCGATGAATTTCACAAAGGTCGGTTTTGTGTCGTTCTGTTCCTGGAAACCAGAAGCCCCCTCGATCTTCTTGAAGATCATAGACGAAAACCGAATATCTCCTCGTCCAGCTTCGACATCACTCCTAGCCCAAGGAAGAGAAAGCAAGGTCGGATCGAACATGGAGACCGGAATGGATGAGTCTTCAGGCGAAACGGAAAAGCGAAAAATCTCGGCAAGATTGTTAAAACGAGAAAAGATGACGATCGAGACCTCTGCAACTGATTAGATACGGTTTTGCAAAAACAGGTGAAGGTAAACTGTACCATTCCGGGCAACAATCTGGGTAAGACGGAGGCTGGTGTCCTCTATATCTCGAAAATGATTCCAACTGAGGAGCGTGGATACATATGGTTCACCGTCACAATGACGCTTAGAAGGCGCATCATCGGACAGGAACTCTAGCCAAAGTATTCGGGCCGTGGTGAGGACGAAAAGATGGGAAGGGCTGCTTCTGCTTCTGGAGATATCTAGAATCCATTCGGAACCTCGTTCGAAACCAAGGTCAATCATATACTGTTCAGGCGGTTGCGCGTTAAGCCTGCATAAGACCAAATTGCGGCGGTCACAGACTACCAATCGATCTACATCCCCAATCCAAGTAATTGAAGCCCACCCATCAAAGTGGTCCTCCCCTGTTTCCTCAGAACCACTGCGCTCGGATGTGGATGCCAACGATCCACATGGTCCTTGCTCAGCACTCCAACCAAACTTCTGCTGTACCCTCCGATTTAAATCCCAAACGCTCCAATTGCCGCAGCGATCAACGATTGCTATCTGTCGTTGATACCATGGATTGAAAGTGACGTCCGCGTGAGGGTGTCCACCGCTTAGCGAGATGGGAATATCAAGCAAAGGGTTGACGTCGAGACGAGACTTCGATCGTGCGTCGAGCATGAAGCCCCTTACTCCGGAAGCGGGCGGGAGAGGCGCAGAGTGGTAGAGAGGACGAAATATAGTAGTATGATGCGAAAATCTGGCGGCAAGATACGTGCTATCCTCGTCGATAGATTCCGCAAAACAAATTTGCTGCACTGGGCCCCCAGGGCACTTCCACCATGCAGCATATTCATACTGTAGAGCTGGGACAGCAGTTAAATGTCCCGAACCAACCGATATGCTTTCTGATTTGAAGTCCACCGGGATCAGAACAATCGAGGTCGCCGGATCACCAGAAACAGTGACCACAATCGAAACCGACAGGCCGCTCATACGGCCCCCATTGATACCTGTTGCTCTTCCGAATGCCAATCGTGGTGAAACGAGAGGATCAAAATCTTTCAATGTCTTGGTAATAGCTTGGGACGATCTGTCGTGGGAATTTACGAGCTCCAAGCTTGGAGCTAATTCTGGATATGCTCTCAGTAACGCATTGTCCTTTCTTGTGGCCCGAGAGGTTTCATGGCGGGCTGAGTGATTTGATTGATCGGCATTGGATTCGAGGGTAGTAAGAGATGTTTCTTCCAGGAGAACAAAGGGTGGGCCTGTACGAAGAGACGAGGTCAGTTGAAAGGCAATATGCGGGCGGACTCTTTTCCCTAACCTCTCTGCGGAGTACGCGTAAATCCCCATAGATGCGCATCTGGAAGGTAGACTGCCGTCCCAAGTTGCCCATATTGCAGGGAATGCTGTGGACGACAATCATCCATCTGGTTTGGATCGAGGCCTCGTGCGCAACGTACGAACGTGTGAAAAGCTGAAATTCATCTCGGAGTCGCCTAAGACGCACAGAATCTATACATAAAGCATCGATCGCGGGTAGCTATTGGAAATACTATGAATTGGAAAACGGCAGCATCTTCGCAGGACGTTGATTCTGGTGGCAGCTCAGAGGGAGAGCTCAGAGCTATGAGCAGAAATTCGTTCCGGGAAGCCAAGCTTATTTTGAGTTTAGCGCGCTTTCACAAACGCTAACCTATCTCTGGCTAGTGCCATCGCTGTTGCTCCCCGCAACCAACAGAGGCAGTCGGGCAATGAGACATCTCAAGCAAAACAGTCCAGCTCAAGACCCTCAGCAGCCATTGGCGATTATAACCAAATCGAAAAGACAACGCGACGATATTTATTATGGCTTCAACCTTCGATCCCTCTGTGTCAGTTTCTGGCATGCGCCCTCCACTTGCATCCGCGGACGCGCCGTCCATGGCCGACCAGCTCCCGGCGCTCAACTTTGGATTCGAGGATTTACGCGCCCGTATGGCACAGTTTAGCGCAAAATTCGATGCATTCATTGAAAGAGGGAGAAAGCAAATTCTAGAGGAGAAGAACCAGTTTCGAGTCAATCTTGCAGAGCTCCAAGGTTAGGCTTCGGCTCACCCCTCGCGGGGGACAGCTCTTGAGCTTTGAATACTGATATGTGCCGCAGAGGATCGGAATATGAAACAGAAAGATATCGAGATATTCAATTTAAAATCGCAAACCCATGCGCAAACATTGCAGAAGGAGGCGGCGGAGGCAGCAGAAATGCACGAAGCAATTGCCGCAATTAGTCAACAACGAGATGCGCGCTTAACCACCCGGGACCGATTAAAACAGCAAATCGAAGAGACACAAAAGGCAATAAATCAAAGGCTGGAAGCTCAGAAAGCGCATGCGAGACACCTTGAAGCTCAGGCACGCCTGAATGTTCCCGAGCTGGAGTTTTGGCAAGATATTTTGTGCTTGAGAATTGAGGGTGCAGGGAGAGATGATCGATTGAAAATAGTGTACAGTCATCTCTTAGAAAAGGATTGGGAGAAGGAAGCTTGGTTTGAACTTGGGACAGCCTCCAGGGATTACGAAGTGTTTCATTGCCGCCCCAAGTTGGACCGGGCAGCCATTGAGCAAGAGCTTGATATTGTCAATGAAGACCGGGATTTTGGGGCCTTTATCAAACGGATGCGAAAATTGTTCGTGGCCGCAATGAAGTGATTGATGCGTTCGCTTTTACTATTTGCTGCCTTATCGATTTAGAGCGTTAGAGATACCCTTTTTCAGAGCACCTTTGCTATTATTTGATGCTAGCAATCCTCCGATCAAAAAGTTGTTCATAAATTACTGTAAGCTCACCCGCCTGTAGCCTCTCGGTAAACGGCTATGCTTCGATTTGCCCCGGCTGTCGCGAATCCTTCCGCCTTCCCAGTTTTTGGTAACCATTTGACGCTCCAAAGGGCTTTATCCGACTCAGAAAGAGTAGCCACACACGCTTTCCGTTCGATTGACCACACTTTTACTTTCCCATCAAACGACCTATCGGGAACGTCAGAGAACTATCTCGAATTGTCACGCATTGCTAATCGAACTTACCCGCTTAAAAGATATTCGCCCGTATGACTCCAGTCCAAGGACATAATCCACGCCGAATGTCCAGTAAGGTTTGCTACCTGCTCACCCGATGAGGTTTCGTAGAGCACAATGATTTTTGAATCCCCCGCGGCCGCGAGTAACTTTCCTCCTGGGGAAAACGCTACAGCTCGAACGGGATCAACAAGGCCTATACCCTGTCAGTTTGCGGGAGGTGGGCTTGCTATTATAGGGACAGACCAGATAAAGAGTAAGGCATTCGACCAGTGCCATTGTCGAAGATGTAAACGTTTCCACTCTGATGGCCGGACGCGGTATATCGTCCGTCAGAAGACTAGAAAAAGATTGTTAGGTACAGTCGCTCTCTCAATGGCGGGGGCCGGATCATACAATATCTATGCACATTCCAAAACTGCCTTTCGTCTCAAAGTCTCGTATCTGCTCAGCGCCGCTCTCTAGATCCCAAACTTTGATATGCCCATCATGGGTTGTGCCCGCTAGGTACTGCCCATCGTTGGAGAGTCTGATAGCCCAAACATCGCCCACTTTTCCGTTATCTTTATACCAAGTCAGTCAGCATGTAGCACTGTAATCTGCCAGCCGGTAATCGTTTCAAGCGTACAGCTAGTATCCTCACTCCACGTTCCGTCTTTGTAGGCCCACAATTTGACCTCTCCAGCAAAGCCAACGCTCGCTGCCCTTGAGCCATTTTCACTGGCGACTATGTGATGACAGCCAATGTTGTGGGCCTTTTCAATTGACTGGGCAATGGGGAATTCTGCCTCTGTGGTCGAATGGACCTTGAGCGATGAAGCACCCGATGCCGATAGAAACTGGGTTGGAGTGACTGCTAAACAGAATATATCGGCAAGATGAGCTATAGGAAGTTCTCAGTAAGTATATATCGCTTTTCCCTGGAAACTTAGTGGAAATGCACCATTGTCAACAGTGTGCAAGGTCAAGTATTGTTTCGACTATGACAGTGTTAGCTGAAACAAGCAATTATCTGCAAGCTCTTACCATTTCTATAGGCCGCGGATATTCCAGGGCACGGCCAAGATTTCGGAAATATGCAATATTAGGAATACCGAATCACTATGGTTGTACCCCGGATGTGGGAACATATGATGTCGTTAACTAGATCGACCTGGGAGGGGATCCTCGGAACGCAGACGGTGGAAAAGTCCTTTCATGGTGCAGTGATGGATTTATGTAACCTCGTCAAATTTACAGATTACATGCAAGGGAAATTCGTTGTCAAAGGCAAAAATAGATATCAGCCTATTTATTGAATAGTTATACAAGCGAAAGTTTCAGCAAACTAGACTTGTCTTTGCAAAATAAATATACAGTCAATAAATCCTCAAACAACACAGCCCGCAGAGACGCCAATTCATATGCAATGCTTCTTTCAAGGATTGTTTTATACATCCAGTATCTCTAGCAAATTTCTTCCAAAATACGAGCGAAAAATCATGCTGAAATCGTTGCGTTCTTCTCGTCCTCTCTCCATCGTTGTTTGACCTCTGGAAGCCAAATTATTAGTTGATCAGCCGGAATCAAAGACCATGGTAAACATACCGCTAACACATGAAGGGCATAATAAATGAGCCCGTTTTGGTTGACCGCAGCCGGGGCAGTTGGTAATGTTCTTCACGTCCTTCAAGGCCTTGCCCGCCATTTGTCGATGTCTTTTCTTCATATGTGAGGTTTTCTTCTTAGGGACTGCGCGAAGGATAGATTCCCAAAGCCCTGAGAGGATAGAGGGTAGACCAAGGACGACCGTGCCCGGAATGAAGGCATTGGAAGATATGTGAAGCGGTTGCGACAGGAATTGTAGGAGTCGGCTCGATGTCGGGGACTGAAAAGCTGCGAAGGAAGGGAGTGCTCGTGCGGAGAATGAGGGAAAGGGCAGCACCCGGAGCACCCCGATGGCCGCCATTTTCCCAGGGTCTAGCAGATGGTAGAGATATATATCAAGCAGTAGCCGGCGACTTTGATATCTCCTTCCCTCAAGCTTCAAAAGCAGCAAAAGTCAAGTGTGTTACATAATCTTCCCCATTAGGACTAGTGTGTTCTCAACAGCTCTGATTGGCTAGGTTGTAACCAGCCGCGCTAAACCAAGATTGGGTTAATGTTGTCCTCAGCAGCCCCTGACCCGCGATTGGCCTTTGAGCAGCAAACTAAACCAAAGCTGCCCGTTCTGGAGACTTGAGAAATTTCAGGGGGTGCAACGCTCTTCACAAGACGGACCGTCACCATTCTCGCTGCCGTCCACCAGCAATCAACATCGCTCTCCCTTGACCCCAACGTTGAATCGATACGCGAATAGATCGAGAGGGACGCACGGCTTCTGGAACTGCTTTGCTTGCTGAAACCACCCGGTCAATCGCTCTTGAAAATGGCATCCCCGGCCCCCCAATCCGTTCAACAACAAGCCAACAATACGGTCTACCCACGGAGCCATGTCGGTTTCGATAGCATTACCTCACAAATTGAGCGCAAGCTATTGAAGCGTGGCTTTCAGTTCAATGTCATGTGTGTTGGTCAGTGTGTCTGAAGCTATCGTGACTTGGCTTCCCGCAATTCTGACAGCTCGGCTGCGGTTTTAGGACAAACTGGGCTCGGAAAATCGACTTTGATCAATACCATCTTTGCCTCGCACCTAATTGACTCCAAGGGCCGCCTGACACCGGATGAGCCAGTGCGTTCCACCACCGAAATCCAAACCGTGTCACACAGTATGCCCCCCCGCCTCCGAGACATCATTTCTGCCAACTGACAGCAGCCTAGTTATTGAGGAAAACGGTGTCCGTCTGCGATTGAATATTGTTGATACTCCTGGTTACGGCGACCAAGTCAACAATGATCGATGGTTTGTGCATGATGCGGGCTGCAATATGTTGGTAGCATGGACTAACGTTTCGACTTGCTACAGCTGGGACCCGATTGTCAAGTACATCAAGGACCAACACTCCGCTTACCTACGAAAGGAGCTCACGGCACAAGAGAGAACGTTACATTCAGGATACTCGAATCCACTGTTGCCTTTTCCTTTATCCAGCCTTCCGGGCCATGCGTACGTAGCATATCAGGAAGAGCGGACTTTGCTTCGTGCTAACCTAAATCCTGCAGCTTGAAACCCATAGATATCGTTGTGCTCAAGAAACTTTCCGATGTTGTCAACGTTGTCCCAGTTATCGCCAAATCCGACTCTCTCACTTTAGAGGAGCGCTCCGCATTCAAGGAAAGAATTAAGGAGGAATTTTCGTTCCACAATCTGAAAATGTACCCATACGACAACGACGAGTTGGATAATGAAGAACGTGCTGTCAACGCCCAGATTAAGGTAAGACACCTCCACCCTATGTATCGAGTCGCCCCGGTCACGTTTCTTATCTCGCGCACAGGATATAATCCCCTTCGCCGTCGTTGGAAGCGAAAAGTCAATTATCGTGAATGGTAAACAAGTTCGCGGCCGCCAGAACCGCTGGGGTGTGATCAACGTGGAAGATGAGAACCATTGCGAATTTGTCTACCTCCGCAATTTCCTTACACGAACCCACCTCCAGGATTTGATTGAGACTACAAGCCAGATCCACTACGAAACCTTCCGTGCCAAGCAATTACTTGCGTTGAAGGAAAGCAGCGCTACCGGTCATGGTAGTCGGCCAATAAGCCCTTCAGCGGATCGAGAAGTCAGCCGTAATTCTCAAAGAATGACTCTGAACGGATATTAGAGCAAATTTCGGGGGCTCTAACCTCTTACCGCTGAACACTTCACCATCCAAACCCTGTCCACCGGCATGACCTATGGCTTTTTTCGGGTGGGGTACGCGGTTACAACACAGCTGTTCGCCAGCAAGCAAAGTAGTGCTAATTTTCCAGATATCCTCTCGCAGTTGTTATGCTTTTCTTTTTCTCGCCAGTGAATTAGTATGGTATTTCCTTTACTTGCCCGTCCGCAGGGATAGATTCGAAATTGCGAAGCATGCTTTCTTTTCCGAACGTCGGACTTTATAGTTCATTTAATCCATAACTCTTTCAAATTCTTTTTGGCTCCAAACTTTCGGTACAGTCCGTATAAACTGGTGCGGTATCTATAGGTGAGACACTTCCCATATAGATTACAACAACAACAACAACAATAGCTTAGCAGAGACTAGTTCCTCATTACCAAATGCTAGAGAGGAAACATGTTACACTCTGTTGGCTCAGCAGCTTGGACTAGTTTTCGAGAGCATGACTTTAGCCAACGGAAACAGGTGAACACGATAACCCGTTATGGTGCTGGTAAACAATATTGACTGTGAATTCCTTTCATCACACTCATGAAGTCCAGTCAAGTATCCACGTCTCCCCTTTATTCGCCTCTCAAAAATTACTATGGGTTCTACAGCCAGAACGGTGGAGTTCAGGACAACTTGCAGGCGGTCTGATGGTGGATGGTCTATGCGGATATTACTACTGGGTTCATTATTTGACAATTTTTTAAAATGAAAAGCAATCCAACTTCTACATCTATGAAGTATTACTTTCGTTTGATAGTCAATCAATTCCATCTCAAGCTTCAATGTGGTTGAGCTGTACTCCGTAAGTTGTTAAGTAGCCAACTGACAGAGTACAGAGGACGAAATAGCCCGCTTTTTAGCTTGTTACCCCTGGTGGCACCAAATCATAAAATCCACCCCTCACCACGCAGCAGATTCTTCCTCTCCTCGACCGACTTGGCTGCACCGAAGACCTCCCAGCCGTGTGCAATATTGATGTTCGCAATGGCTACCGCAGGTACATCTCCTTTTCAGAGATCCCCAGAGAACAAGCTAACCCCGTGTTGCTTTGCAGTGCGCAAGTTCCGTCCCGTGGTAATCTTCGGCCCATCAGGAACCGGCAAGTCCACGATCCTCAAACGGCTCTTTGCCGAATATCCTGATAAATTCAGCTTCTCCGTCTCCCGTTAGTATAGCCACGGTTTCCTCCAACCATTATTAAGAGAAGCGAAAGGAGAAAAATTTGAAACTGAGAGATTCTATTTGCGTGTTAGATACCACCCGTGCTCCTCGTCTCGGCGAGAAAGACGGTCGCGAATACTACTTCACGACCAAAGATGGGTTTTTACAGTTGGTTGCTGAAGGTGGCTTTATTGAATACGCCCAGTTTGGCGGCAACTATTATGGAACGAGCACCAGGGCAGTAAGAGAAATCATGAACCAGGGAAAAGTGTGCGTTTTGGATATTGAAATGGAGGTATGGACTCCTCTGGTGCCAGCTCGGCTCATTCTTTGTCTTTCGAGAGCGTTGGCTAACGAGCCGGGGAAAACCCTACAACAGGGTGTCAAGCAGCTTAAAAAGACAGACCTCAATGCGAGATTCTTATTCCTCGCTCCTCCATCGATGGAGGAACTTGAGCGCAGATTGCGTGGCCGTGGCACGGAGACGGAGGATAGCCTACATAAACGATTAACACAGGCGAAGAACGAGGTGGAATTCGCCAAACAGCCAGGTTCTCACGATAAGACTGTCGTCAATGACGATCTCGAGACGGCATATCAAACAGTGAAAGATTGGGTCGTGGATAATGGGGATTTTGGCGAGATGCGTGCATCTTGATTTATACATATTTTTAAAGTGCATCTATTCTGCTAAGATACCCCATCCTTAATCGTTACATCAAGAATACAAATATTTATAGAAGCGACTCTCGCGAAAATACAGTGTGACCAGCACGGCCATCAAGCATGCTCGTGGGATTCTTTATGTCGCTTGCCGGTTTGTGACTCTTGCTCCAGAAAGTTAGACCATAGCTCTGCTAGCGATTCTTTACGAGAAGGGGTGGTTTCGGAAAAATAATCTGTGGTGAGTGCAGGCGAGCTTGGTGTTCGATGCACAGGAGAGGCGCCAGGAACTCGAAGGCTAAGTGATGCAGTGCTCCCAGGTCGAGCAAGGCCGGCTTGCTCACGTTGCTCTAGAGTACAAATGTCAGTTTTTAGAGATAAGGCATTGAACAAGGGATCAATCCAACCATCTGTCCACCCTAAAAGTGCTGCTATGAGCTGTAGAACCTGAAATTTCTTAGGGTCTGATCGATCAAGAGCGAGGAAATGAAGAAAGTGATTCGTAACCAGGTTCCTATACCCATCGTTAAATCCCATCCTGTAAATAACTTCGCGTGTGGTAACAAACCTATCCACATTATCTTCTGGCCTTCCTTTTTTTAGGAAGCGCAGGGCCTTTGTAAGGTGCTCGTTTAATGTAACCGCTTCATGTCTCAATTTTCCTATGAGGAGATTCTTCTCCTTCACTTCTTTCTCGAAGGGCGAAGCTCTTTCTAACTCCTTTTTAGTTTGCTCTAATTCGGCATTGGCATCAGCAGCTGACTTCTCAGCATACTGTAGCTTTCTCCGGAGATCTTCAGCCTGAGCATCGGAGGTTTCCACCAACTCCCGCAGTTCTTGTTTTCGAGCTAGGTGGAACGGTCAACATATGAAAACAACCTCAATCCATCGGATGAATAGAACCTACCTGTCTGAATTTCCTGTAGGGCTTTCTGGAGCCCTTCAACCGTAATGTCTTGGCTCCTACTTTCGTTCGAAGCTTTCTCGTAGTCGATTTTGAGGGAGTTCAGCTGTTCTTCCAGATCTACAACCCTATCTGCAAGTCCCTCTCGAACTGACCGCTCCTCCATAGCTAGGATTTCCCAATTGTGCATTGCCTGTTTCGCATCTTCAAACTCTGCTCGCAAGTATGCTTCCTGTTCTAACAACTCTTCCCTTTCCTTTAGCCAATTTTGCTGGGACAGGTTCGTCCTATTTCGTAAGCCGGAAATTTCTTTCGACCTCTGTTCGCCTTCTTCCTCCAGCGATTCCACCTGCGCAGATTTCGTTTCAACTTCCGATTTCAAGGTCTCATTTTGGCCTTCTAGCTCCTCGATTCTGCTTCTCGCAAGGCTCAACTCTTCCTATCCCACTAGTTAGCAAGAACAACAATAGGAAATTTTCGAGGCAGATATACAGCATCAGCTTTCAGCCTTTCTCCCAGTTGAGCTTTGATAGTGTTTACTTTGCCCAAGAGATTCCGAAATTGCGTTTCTGCGTTATGTTTCTCATTTTGGGTCTCTTGTAACTTGTTCTGGAGAGCCTCCATCTCCTCGTCGTGCTTAGATTGTATCTGTTCTAACGTCCTACGCATCTCCACGACCTCGACTCGAAGCGAGTCACGATCCCGTACAAGTGCTTCAAATCGGGGATCGGACTCGAGAGGTACCGGGCTCTGCAACTTGGTCGCAATTTGCGGACCCATACCGTCAGGCTCCGTGGCTTCACAATCTGTCGCGTCGGGGTCAGTGGCCTCGTCGGGCTCCGGTCCATTCGGCAAATCCTGAGCCTGTATCTCGAAATGGCCGAATCAGTACGCAAGTCAGTCATTTTTAGGTATATCGGAGCGCGATCTTACCTTCATCTCCAGTTCAGAAGCATCGTGGGGGGCTTCGACGGCATTCTGGTCGTGGCCTTTGGTGTTATTGTCTTTCTCTCCATTGATATGCGATTTTCCGCCGGCCTTTTTCTTCTTGTTTTTCTTCGACTTCCCCATAGCTACTCGAGGGATGAAAGGTTAGCCTTGGACCATTGCTGTTCTGCACTGTAGGAACTGACTTTGAGGAGGGGTTGAGGCAGCTGTATCAGTAGGCATTCTTTCCTGGAATCTCCGATAGATTGCCAGAAGGACAATTTCAAGAATCGGGTCCACTCGGTTTGCACGAAGCAGTGTGAGAAAGGTGGAGCTGCGAAGTCGGTGGGCAGCTTTTTAAAAGGTGCGTACTCTGGCTTAATTTGGTTACGAAGCCAGCTTGGCCGTTATTGAACCACCTCGGATTTATTAGTTATGGAACTCTTGACTTCCAGTTTCTACTTCGTTAACTACTATTACTTACAGCAACTTCATCTCCTGCTTTGCATGTCAAATCAACATTTACTGATCCATAAGTCAAAGAGGAACTTGAGTGCCAATTCCGATTATTCGCTCAAGCCTGGTGCCATTCTCTCTCGCCGTATGAATCATGTCTCAGGTTCGTTGTCAATTGATGTAGCTATTTATAGTTTAAACATCAAATCATAGTCTTGGTGTGTCGCAAATAGATTCGGCAAGGTTCGATGAATGGCTTTGTGGCCTTGATTAACGAATGTGCATATAGGCATGACCTTTGGATAAAGTCGACCCCATCGAGTGAACTAGTTAAACAGTATTGAGAAAACGATAGGAGACAATGATAGAAAACTTGTCGGGATGCATTGCTACCCTCTCATTTCTCAGGGGAATAACACACTCCTCAACCAGTTCCAAAAAGAAGTCAGACGGAGCATTGGGGTATCCAAATTGTCGCAATCCTAGGGTTCAGGACTACCATAGCATATAGCCCCTAGAACAAGTACAGGTCATATCTAGCCTGACAATGAGCCTCCTTCCTGCTACTGCGATCAGGCTCCAATCGAAATCGCCCATCCGAGTTTCCATCTGCATTGTAGTCGGGAAAGCTGCATGGAAACCACACAGAAGCGGGACATTACTCCATGCGCATTGCTTTGTCACATGAAATCGTCTAGATAGCTCTCATCGCGATTCTGGTTGCTGCTTTGATAAACGTTCTCCTCACTCATCAAATCATCATAAGCGTGCTCTTTTTGCCACTTTAATTCCTCCCTCTCTTTGCGCTCTTTCTTCTCCGCAATTCGTTTCTCTTCTCTCCGTTTTCGTTCCTCTTTCCTACGCTGCGACATATATTCTTCCTTTTCAGCCATCAGATCAGGATACTTCTCAACTTTAGTCTTATTCAATCGATTAACTATGGGATTTTGTCGTGCAGGAACAAATATTTTGCGTGTTAGCTTTGGATTGTGGAAGGAGACCTGACCAGTGGCCATCGATGCGGTTTTCAGTAAATTCGACCACGGGGTATAAATCACTGTTATGTTATCCTTTTTGTTCCCTGCCCTCAATAACAATAACATCAGTTAAAGCGAAAAAGCGAACATTGAAAAAGGGAACCGAAAGAAAGTGGAAAGTCGCGCACCGTCAATTGAGTTGGCTTTTGTAAGTTGCGCACAGTCTTCAAGTAACTCTGTAGGAATATTGTCCCAGCTTTGACCCTCGTTGAGACGAAGATAGACGTGTGCGCTCGACAAGTTATCGACGTGGAACTAGGGATCCATCAGAACGTGATGCGTTAGAGGGGAGAGTCAACGATGTAGCACACCCTAGAGAGTCAGCCAAGTTGGGTCGTTCATCTAGAGGAGAACCTACCAAACGTCGGCTTCCAGTCCATATTTGATTAAATCCTCGTCTATACGACGCAGTGAAACAATGTTAGCAAGTGCAACAAGGAGAGAATCGTCAAAACCTCGTCTCCGTACTTTCTTCCTTGTCTTTCCCGACATAGATGAATGCGGGAGGCTCAACGACATTGGAGGTAAAATAGAAAACCATTTTAGATAGTGCAAAGTACAGGAGCTTAATGAACGGCACTGGGACTTTCTTGCGTTTTAAACGATTCAAACGAGAGCTACAGAGCTTTTAGCTGTTCTTAGAGCCTCCCCCGCCGACTTGTTCTGGAGTTTTGCTTCCGTTTATTCCCCTCATTATCAGAGGAGAATGTGATTATGTAAGAAGGACGAGGCCTTCTTACTGTTGATTGGTGGATGAGCTCTCTATGACACGCTAACCACATTTAGCTAGTTAGTTTACGCGGATGCTCAGTATAGCCGGCCCGACGTAGTCCCGGTACTCAGAAACGGCCCCTTTCTCCCGGCGCGCAGATGCCAGATCACTGAATCAATTTCAGATCTCATGCTACCTAATCATCGAGGGAAGGCCACTGTTGAGTGACAGATTACGTCAAACAAGCCCTACTTATCACCAACTACCCAATCTAGGCGGGTGCCACCCTCATGCTCTTCAAACGTCAGAGCATCTCGTTCTAGTCCTACAGAGTGCCGGCATCCAGACCCAAGAATGGACGAAATAAAAAGACGCCACATTGAGAAAGAAGCCCAGCGATTTGTTGCATCAATCGACTGCTCTGCTGTTTGTGACCTGGTGACCTCATTTGATCCGCAAAAGAAACCCTGCCGGATACTGGATGAAGAGGAAAAAGGTGTTTCTAATGTTTGCTTTCTGGTTGTATTGCTCGAAAATGCAGCACATCAGCATGCTACCAGTGATGAATGTCGTGTATATCACTTCTGCCACATTTAACTTTCCTGAGGACAAGCTTCTCAACCATATTGATGCACTTATACTAGATTTAAGTGATGAGCTTTGGGTGTTTGAGAACAATCACTTCCATCTCCATGTCACCTAATTGCTCCCAACCAGATATTTCATTCAGCCATCAACTGCATCTTTATGTTTCACCAATCTTTGTTGGATGATTTTCATTTGAGACAGGACAGTGTTAACAGTAATTCAGATGCTTGCCCATATCTATATGACCTACATGACTTCCGCCAATCCTTGATGCATGGTGATCTATGGTCTGCAAACATTCTTTCCTAACAATCTTGGACAAGATTCAAGAATGTAGGATTTAGGTGATTCCTCCTCTCATGGGCCTACAAAGTAGAATCCTTGAAATGATGAAATCCACAAATCCCAAAATTTATTGATGAGTAGTGAGAGAGCTGGCGAAGAGTTTGCTCTGTGTAACTCTATAATAGTTAAGTTAGTGGCTGTGGTAGGTCTGGTATGCCGTAACTCACTAACTAGTTCGCTAACTAGTTAGCCAGGGATCACACTTCCCGGGAGACTGGGTCTCTGATCTGCACCAAACAACACGCAAGTCAACAAGCTAACAAGTCATTCCTTGCAGGGCTGGGTTTCAGTGGGAGCAACGAACTTTTAATAGTAGCAGGAACTGCCAGTGGAACAATGTATCAAGGATTCACGCCTTCAAGAGCCAAGATGTGCTCCTCCACTTTCAACCAAGAAAAGTGCTTGCTAACTGTTGCGGGATAGCTCTCTGCTAAACAAGAGCTCTAGCATTGAGGTGGCGATTGATAGGCGAGTAGTTACTCAAACTATGAGTACTCTATGAAATAATCACAACTATTATTATAGAGTTAACTACTCTGTGACACTATGACAAGTTAGTGAGATATCAACTTCACCTGGCCTCCCGCAGAACGCCAACTAATCTTCCGTTGCAGGCGTGGAACACTGTTAGTGCAGCAGTGTGCATCCTTGAGATTCCAGATTAATTATAACTAAAAGCGTCAGTGACATAACCGTATTATCATATTCGACGAATGCCCCTTCGCTTGTATCTACCTTCCATCCGAGATTATAAGCCCTCGAGTATCTATTCACAACTCTGATTGGCGATTCATTTTGGCTGATGGTCATAGTTATGCCTCTTATGCTGTCACTTTTCCGTATTCGAATCCAGAAGTCCAATATGCTGGTTTGAACAATTCCATATCAAGAGTCCAAACGGGCTGGCTCGTGGCGAAGTGCGCTGCCATCAGGGGTCCGTGTACCTTAGCGGGAAAGCCCTGGAACGAAGTAGTTATGGCCAGTATGTAAAATGCACCC